ATTAATTACACATAATCATATATAAATTAGTAATGAAGCATATATTTATATAGTAAATATATAATTTGTATATAAGATATGTTATATTTATATTCTTGATCCTGTTGACACCACCCATTTCTGTCCTTTGCACCTTTGCTGGATAGATTCTTCCAGAGAAGAGACTTACTGCTTAATGAGGCTAACGAAGCACTCTGCTGTTGTAGGGATCAAATAGAGGTGTTGGAACTCACTTTGCAGTTTGCTCAAGTTATTCCAGGTGGTGGAATAACCACCGTATTTTCTGTAGTGCAGTGGGAGGCACGGCATCATCTGTGGTTACAGCATCCTGCAGTAAAGAGGTGGAATGTTGTTAGAACTAACTGTTGTGTCTCAGTTTCCCATGGGTGGAATAACCACAGGTGAACAGGAAAACTACAGGCCAGCTTTCCTGCAGCAGTCTTCTCTGACTTCCTCTGAAAGCGAAGATGATGATGGATTCCTAGAGCTGTTAGATGAGGAAGATCTGAAGGTACGTACAAAGGAAATGCAATGGACGTTTCAAAATCAGCTCTGTCTAATGTTAATAGCCTGCCAACGATACGTGTCCGTGGTGCGCATATGTTCTAGCAGAAGTCCGTGTGGTAAGTCAAACCGCAAAAAGCTAGGTACTAGGGACTCCTGGAAGATGAGTTATCATCATCTTTTTCAACTCTAACATTTCAGTGTCTCCATCTCGTGGGCGCTGTTTCCTAGTGCAGACAGTGGGATTTACTTGGGGTGTGAACAGCAGTTAAAGAATTGCTGCTGTTCCTATTGGTAGATGAGAATTGCATTCCTAGAGAGAATTATGTGAAGAATTGGTATTTTTCTTTAGAAACTTGCTGAAAGAGCTAGAGGTGATACTTGCTTTAGAGCCACTTAAAGAGGAAATGCTTAAAGCTTTGGAGGAACGTCCTTGTTAATCAATCGATGAATTGCTATAACATGCCTCCTTCTGCATGTCTCAACTTGGTTCCATTATTTCATTGAGTATTGGGCTAGTAATTGCGTTAAATTCCTAAACCTGCTCTGACAGCTGAATTCAACTGGGTTGTTTGCCCGAGCTGTGTAGAAGCTGTAGATATTTACAGTCTCTGCCCACAGTGAAATAGATGAGAATGAACTTTCTTTTTTTTCCTCAGAACGATGAGGAGATGCCATCTGATGTGGCGAGCCTCTGGACTGCACCACTAGTCATGAGGAAAACAGACAATCGGGTGAGTGTTCTGGGAGAGCACAACAGAACAGAGATGGGGACTTTGTTTGGGCACCCATTTTCACTACTGGGATGAGTGATCGCACTGTCTGTGATCCTGTATCCCTAATAACAACAAAACAAGACAGGGCATAAACCCCCTTCAGCATTCTCTTATCTCTAAAGCCTGTTTACCTGGAAGACTTTGTTAGTGTGGAACAATGCTCATTGTGTGCCTATATGGGCAGTAACTTTCTTTTTACAAAAACATTTCATAAATGCAAGATCTTGACTTCCCTTATCAGATACTTGTTGACATATCTTGAATACATTCTGCACAGGCTTACCTGGAATGTCTGCAGCCTCATCTTCTGATAATAGACTGCAAAGGGAGGTTAGACGAGAGCAAAAATCTCCTTAATCTGCTGATAGATTGTCTGCTAATTGGTATAAAGCACTCTGCTAACACATCATATTGCTTATAGTGCTCCAGGCTCACCCAATCAGCAAGAAACAAGTGTTACCGGAAATGTAGGTCCTCAATTTAGATGACTTTATTGGCATCCTGCTGTTGCTGTGCAGTGGCAGTGTCTTATATAAGGCAAAACTTGTAATAGTCTGAAAATCTGAGGCTTGCTTGGTTTCTAATCTAAATCTTTGCTAGGCAACTCTTAACTTCTCTCCCTCTTCATAGGCCAAACGATGCCGGTTGTTTGGCTCTTCATCTCTGCCAAGTGGTGTAGAAAGAACCACCCAGAAGAGGATGGAGAGGTCCCAGGAGGAGAATTCTCCAGGGAAAAGCAAGAAGAGGAAAAGCCTGCCTGGAACTCCTGAGGATTCAACGGTTGGTGGCTTGGCATCTGATGTTGTAGCAGAGAATTGATTAGGAGAGGATCTAATACAGGTGTCTAGTTCATGAAGGTTAATGAGGGAGAGCTTGTTCAGGTGAATTGCTGACCTAGCAAAACTGCATTCTCTGTGCAGTGGGGATTAGGGGAGCTGGTGCAGTGGTTGCTTTCTCTTGAGCCTGAGTTTTGCCTTAATCCAAAGGGGAAGCTGGAGGGGTTGTAGTTCAGGGCTTCAGCGTGGACTCTTGAGTTTTCTGTTATGCTCTGGGAAAAGGGATTCTCCGCTGTCAGTGCACGGCATTGATCTCTAACCTGTGTTCCTCTAGAGTTTGAAAATAGTAAGGACACAATCCTCCACAGCAGAGATTGAAAGCATTTTGGACAGTGACCAGAGAGATCTTATTGGTGACTTCTCAAAGGTAATTCGAATGATCTGTTTTAATGGTCTCTTTTTTGTTGAGATGTCTCAAACCAGCCCAAGTAAAGCACTTCTGTTCTTCAACAGTACATATTCAAATTACTGGTAAAGGCTGTCAGCGAGAAGGGTGCTTTCATACATTAGACATGAAATGATTCATTTGTGGTTATTCAAAAAGATCTACAAAATCCTTTCAGTATAGGAGTGAAAAAGAAAAATTTGTCCCCGAATTTTTAGAATTCTTAGTTTTAACTCAAGCTTTGCTGAAGAGATTCTTGTCAACAAAGCATCTGTGTTACAAAATTAACTGCTGAGCACCGTGCTGTTGCCTATGTGGCTCACACATGGAATTTCCTCAGTAAAATGCTGTCTGTTTTCTAGGGTTATTTATTCCACACTGTCGATGGGAAACATCAAGATTTAAAATATATTGACTCAGAAATGGTATGTGTTCCAGGGACAGTAGAAAAATTCTTTACTGGGAGGGGAGGAGACCAACACAAAAACATCTCAAAACAACTGAACTTTTTTTTTGCAGATTGTGTCTGTTCTGACGGGGAAGTTTGCGAGCTTCATCAAGGAATGTGTGATAATTGATTGTAGATACCCGTATGAGTACGAAGGAGGACACATCAAGGTACGTTGATCCCACAAGAGCAACGTAGAGTTGTCTGAAGTTGCAAACTGGGGTCACTTGGCACTCCTGCTAGTGGGTACCCAAGGCCATGGGGATATGTTATAGCTGAGATGCCCAAGTGCCCGACTGGGGTCTGCGATCCTGTTACGCTTGCGCACAGCATGATTCTCAGGACACCGAGCTCACGCTGGGTTCGTAAAGTGACTTCCCTTAAGGAGGGAACATTCTGCTTGCCTTAAGCAGAAGAGGTGGCCTGTGTGGCAAGCAGGGAGACCGTTCCGGAGGAGGATGTAAGACACTCGGTGTCCAGCAGCCTGATATCTAGGGAAGCTAAAATTAGATTAGGAAATGTCATTTCAACCACAGACTTCAAAGAACTGTGCAAAACATAATTGATCTTGAAGTTTGCTGCTTGAGCGAGTTGGCCAGCCCTCTCAAATACAATGAGATGGGAAGGGAAATCCAATGAGCCACATGTACGGCTGTTGAAATGGCCATCTGAAACTGGTCCGGGTCACCCAGAGTCAGCATTAGACTATCTGTAATATTCTGCTTGGGTTGGGAAATTTATTCCCAACAGCTAGAGAAGGTTGCCAGAACTCCTATAGGAAACTCTAGATGAGGAGGGAGCTTGCAAGGAGGTGGGATAGAGGTTTGTTACTGTTCTCCTCCACTCACTGCGTGTGCTCGGGCATGACCCTGCCTTTACAGGGTGCTGTAAACCTACATATGGAAGAGGATGTGGAAGACTATTTGCTTAAGAAGCCAATCCAGCCATCGGGGAACAAACGAGTGATAATAGTGTTCCACTGCGAGTTCTCCTCAGAGCGGGGTCCTCGAATGTGAGTTATCCTACACCCCCCTAGATAAGAACTTTCTGCTGTGCTAGTTGAGAGCAAAGCTTCCAGGATGGCACCGGTTACTGTGCTGGCATGCTACTTAATACGCAGTTTATCCCGAGCAGATGTTGGTTGTCGCCTCTGGCAGGGCTATGACTCAACCCATGGTGCGAATGGCCCCGTTGAAGTTGGGCTGGCGTGCTGAATGCTTAGAGATGGGAAGGGAAAACCAGTTAGCCACAGCTTTGCAGCCACTGTGGCTTCTCCGCCTGTTCTGGATAGGCACTGGCTTGCTTCTGTAACACAAGGAATGGGAAGTTTCGGGTGAGCGCTCTGTAATGTGTTACAGAGATTTAATGGAGGATCTTTTCCTGCTACAGGTGCCGGTTTGTGAGAGAGCGGGACAGGCTGGGTAATGAATACCCCAACCTCCATTACCCAGAACTGTATGTCCTGAAGGGGGGTTACAAGGACTTCTTCTTAAGATGCCGTGTAAGTAATGTTCTCTTAAATTTGGTGCTTTCACACTCAGAAGAAATGACAGATCAATAACACCGACGTACTCAGTCAGACTTCTCTTCGGAGTAGAGTGTTTTTTGCTGGGGTAGCTTTTCCTGTCCTGTTTTGCAGTGCTCTCCTGTACTGAGAGCAGTTAAAATTTGGCAGTGAGGTTGCCTTCACTTCTCTAAGCCTATGCCATACTTCAGGGCTGTCTTGCTGCCATAGCTGAAAGGTTTTTCCACTTGTCTCAAGAGTAAAACATAAAACTGGTTTCTGCCCCCTTATAATAACTAGGAGTTCAAAATGTCTTTTGGAGAAAAAGAACTGAAGGCTGCTCAGCCTGCAAGGACTAGGAGAGAGGAGAGGCTTGACAGTAATTGCCATATAACAAATGAAAACCTGACACATCATACTGTACTAAAATAGCAACACTGGAAAAATCCAGCTTTGACTTTTCAGCCTCTAATTCAGAAAAGGAATCTAGAAAATGCCCAGCAGCTCTCTTACCAGCAACATGAGGATGGTGTTTTAGGTATCACTTGGCTTCTGCTGCTTCAGCATTTCAGTGGCCATACTCTTTCTCCAGCTAGCTCTTCCTGCTGTTCTGACACAAACTAGACTGTGGCCTGACTGTCACTTTAGTCCCTCTCAGACCCTCACACTTCAGAGTATCTCGTAGATTACCTTCCTGTTCTGTGACTTGGTGCGTTTTCAGAGAGTTGTGAGAGATTTCACCTTTCTGTGACTGGCTGGGTGGGGTCGTATGTGGTTTCCCAGTGGGATGTTGGGTCTTCCAGCATTGGGGATGCTGGTGTTCATGGCACCGAGTGCTGTCCTGTTTTTTGGCTCTCCCTGCAATCTGCTGGCTCCCTGTGGCAGTGGACACTTGGGTTTTGTTTTGGGCCCTGTGGGTATCCTCTCCCGAGGTAGGAGGACCGAGGGCCTCAAGGTGGCAGCATGAAACAGCCGATGGCAGCCTTTAAATGCTCCATGTGTGACCAGGAGCTGGCCGGTCCCCAGATACAAGTATTCTCAAATCTGTGCTATTTCAAGGTGAATACGAGATAAACTTAGTTTGTGTATTGATGTCTGCCAGAAGATTTGGCCTGAGAGCTCTGTACGCAGGGCTGAAGGTCCTGCGTTTAAGAGCTATCACTTCTGAAGTAGCTGTAATCTGAGTATCCCTTGGCTTTGATTCAAATATCGCTTGGCTTTGTTCATGTGCGCCTGGTATGAAGCTCCTGCACAGAGTGGGGGGGTCTGTTTCTGTTTATTCTGGTGGTAGTTGTTCGAATGGTTGCTACCAGCCTCTGTCGGTGAGACTCGGAGATCATCGCTCCTGTGACCCATTGAAGTGAAACCAGCTTCTCTTTCCCCAGAGTTTCTGCGAGCCCCAGAGCTATCGCCCCATGCACCACGAAGACTTTAAAGAAGACTTGAAAAGGTTCCGCACCAAAAGCCGAACCTGGGCTGGCGAGAAGAGCAAAAGGGAACTGTACAGTCGGCTGAAGAAACTCTAAGGGCTGAACTGAACAAGCAAAGAGAGCCCATCGTGGGGGGAGGCTGCAGCGGGAGGGGGACGTGTCTGTTCCTTGCTTGTGGTTCTCAAGTACCGGCTCTCTCCTTGTCTGTTGTCTTACTGGGAACACCATGGAACTTGGGGCTGCAGGCTTGAACCGAGAAACCTGGTTGCTGGCTGGGAGCTGACTCTTCTGAATATTCGTTATGCTGCATCATGGAAATGGCTTCTCGTGTTCTGTGACACCCACAGACTGCCCAACAGTCTGCCCAGGGGAGGGGTGGGGAGAGGTGGTCGTGTGCCATCTACATGGGACTCGGCTGGTACGTGGTGTAAGCAGGGAGGATATTTTAGTGCCTGTTTGTTTTTTTTTTTTTTTTTAAATGCCTTATTTTATTTAAATACAGTCAAATGAAGCTAATACCACTGCAGTTGAAACATCTGGATTGTACTCAGACCTTGTTTCTGCTAAAGGGCAGCCTGCTGTTGGGGGATGTGTGTGTGGTTAAATTTTTTTTTTTTCTCAGCTGCAGCTTTGATTCTGTGTGTTGGAAGCATAATGCATCGTGGTAAAGTAAAATAGGAAACAGTTCATTACAGCCTGAGGTCCCACCTCGCTGAACTCCTGTGTTGTGCTGTGGGAAGCCTCTTGAAGACAGTTGAAGGGGAAGTTGCTTGTTCTATGTAGATATCATGTTCACCTCCTTTACTTAATCTAGGTTGCTTTATTGCATAGAAATTTGAATTTAGCTGCTGCTTTAGTTCTAGAGGAGTTGGTGTTTCAAAATAGGGGAGAACTTCTGAGAGCTGAGGGTAATTCAGAATTTGGCTGTCTTGAGTGATCCCAGAAATACTGGATGGCAAAGCTGTTACCAGGTTTCACGACAGCAGCGATTTACTGCTGCTGCTCCTTCCGAGACTGTGTATTACCATCGTGAAATGGGTCCAGAAAAGAGCCTGGCTGTGAGGAACCATGCTAATGATCCTGGGAGGCTGTTCTGAAACTGCTCCTGCTGCTGTGGCTTTGACTTCAGTCACTTCTCCAGTAGCAGAAGCACCTCCTGCCAGGAAAGGCAGGAAATATAATTAATCCTTGAAGGAAGAGGAGCTTCCTCAGCCAGCATTATAGCTTCCTGTAGCTGAGCTCTACACTTTGCCCACCTAAAGCAGAATTCGTGGTCCTGTGGCATAATAGTGCCAGTCCTAAAACTGCTTTGCTGCTAATTTTTGGTGTCACGCAAGACCCAACTATTGAACCTTGCAGTAGCTCTGTGATGTCAGGGTAAGGCTTGCTGCTTGCTGCAGCAGCACTCTGGTGATTGCTGTAGCTCGTCTTCCTCACACACTACTTCTTGGTGAAACTAGTGCTCCTGAAGCTGGGCGTGCAGCCTGGGAACAACCACACGTCCCGGAAGCTCTCAGCTCTTTAGCAGAAATCCATGCTTCGCACAGCTTGGCTTGCTGTGTGCGAGCTGGTCTTGCATGCTGTTGTATCTGTGTCAAAAAAATACTGAAATGGAGGTGCTTTATGTGGAATTTTAACTTGATTTTTTTTTTTAAAACTGCGTTTCATAAAAACCTGCTGTTAAAACTTTCGAGAACTGAAAGGATAAACTTTGAACTCTTTCTCATTTAAAAAAAAAAAATAAATCTGATTTTGCTGGCTTCCCTCAAAGCTGAATACCTTGAATGGGAAGATGATGAAATGCTAAATCAGAAATGGCCGTTACCAAATCTCCTGCATCTCACCTGGGAGGTTTGAGCTCCCAGAGGAAGCTGGTGAGGTGCCTGGGAGGGCTGCGCGGTGGGAGGAGATCGCGTGCCGGTGAGTCAGCGGGGAAGGCTGGCTGCCTGCGACAGGGCAGCAACGTGATCGACCCAAACGGCTTTTTGGCGCAAGACCCATTGCGCCAAGCCTAAGTGGTAAATAATCAGTTTAGCAATACGACGGCCGTGCAACGTGGTAAACAAGTAGCTGCTCTATGTGAAAGTTTAACTAGCCAGCCCTGTTCAGAAGAAGCAGATGGAGACTGTTGATGGGGCGTGATGCTCTTTTCTGAGGTCACTCAGTAGAGCAAAACCATTACAGCAATCTGTGGCTCTACAGTTGCGCTTCCTGCAAATGCCCCTAAATCAGCTCGTGATCCCAAACTTCCCGATACTCAGGAAACCGAATGTGTTGTGGGCGTTGTCGTGCTCTGTGGCGCAGCGGTATCGGGGGGCGAGAGCCGCCGCGTGCGCTTTGAGGGGTTAGATGTGCCTGTAACCCCGTAGAGGTGGAAGCGCGACCCCCTGCTTTACGCCCCACCGAGTCCTGCGGGTGCTGCGTGTTATGAGGAGCCCTGGGGCTGGGAAGGAGAAGGCTGCGAGATGTGCGTTTCTAAACGGGATCTGTACCACATCAGCCCGCAACCGTAACAGACTAGGGCGGGCTGAGAGAATAAAGTACTTAAAATATCAACCGTTGGTCCAAGTCGGCTTGTCGGGTGGTAGAACGCTGGTGAAGGGCTCGGCATCACACGCAGCTCTGAGCCGTGGCTTGAAAAGAGACCTGAGCTGGCAATCGCTGGTTTTCCTCTCTTGGGTTCTTTGCTTCCGGGATAACTTTAAATGACAGCTCTGATGAAAAATCACACCCTGCTTTCCTGTAAAGCCACAGGAACTGGACCCGCTGGAGGAAGAACACCCTTCTGGCCCGGCTGACAGAGCTGTGCGGTATCTGTCTACCTGTACCTGGCGAAGGTGGTCCCTGGCAGGGGTGGCCAGAGCTGGGGAAGCCCAGTTTGTCCCAGTCTGGGCCGCTTCCAGGCTGATGGGGACGTGGGTCTGTAATCACCCCCATGGCTTGGGAATAGCAGGGCTGCAGCCATCCGCGTGTCAAAGCGGTGTGTTTCCATCGTACCGTCTGCACTGCAGAGAGCTGCAGCTCACTTCCGAATGAAGGTCCTTGTTTGTGCTGGACGCTTCCCCCGTGGAGCACCTGAGAGGGCAGGTTTGAAGGATGGTAATAGCTTCAGCAGAAAGCGTGGGGATGAAGAGCAGGTGGCCGACAATGGGGTCAGCATTAAAAGCTTCACTTAAAATACAGCAATGTGACTTCAAATCCACTGCAGGCTAAAGCAAAGAACTGGGTGGGTTGTTTTTTTCCCTTGCCTCCATCTGTCATCATTAAAACTGATGTTGAAAGCAGCTTATGGCTTCATCAGCTTCTACCGTGAGCTCCTGAATGCCACAAAGCTTAGTCTTTTCCTTCATATTGCTTTACCTTTTGTGGCCTAAAAGGACACTTGTGCTCTTTTTTTATCTTGCAATATTTGTGGCTAATAGCACGACGAGCTGCAAAGGGCCAGTTGTGCTGCTGCTCCTTCAACGGGGGCCCCTGGAGAATCGGAAGCGGGTGCTGGACATCCCTCCAACGCTGCCTTAAGAGGGGAAAAAAGCGTTTTTAGCTACAACTGTGCTACCGGGCAGTGCCCTGGTTTGAAAAAGTGTTTCAGGCTGCCTCCCCAAAGCTGGGGGTTTGGTAGGGAGGAGCGACGGAAGGAGTCACCGCTGATGAAATTCTCGTCCGCACCTCGATGCGGGCAATGCTGTTTGGAGGAGAGTCATGCAGCTTTGGTGGGCAGAAGCTGCTTTGTTAAGAAAACTGTTGGCTTCTTGTCTTGGCAAAGGATTTTAGTGGCACGTGTGACTAAGGAGTCCCCTGCAGAGCTGGTGCCTGGGCCCCTGTGCCGCATAATTCCTGGAAACGCGGTGCTGGGGCTGTGGCACAAGCCAGCGCCCCGTAAGCCCTCGCCTGCAGCGGCTGACCCTGCTGTGCAC